CGGATTTCGATAACAAACAAATAACAAATTTTATTTTTTAAACAAATTGTTTAAAAATTAATATTTAAAAAAAAATCATTTTTTTCTTAAAGTTTAAGCTCTTTTCCGTAAAAAATAATCTCAATGTTTTTCTCTATTTTTAGTAGGGAGAAAGTTATAAGTACAGCAAAAAAATATTGTTCGAATTTGTTATTGTAAATGTCTCGAAATATATTAAAAAAATTTTAATTCAAAATTTGTACACTTATTTAGCACCACTGTCACTACAATTGTGAAAATTCAAATTTTTGTTGTAATTTTCAATTACAAATTACAATTAAAACCTTTAAAAACATGTAGTGTAGGACCAGTGAGCACACGTGCGCTTGGTGGCTATGCACTTGGGAGACCAGAGTAACTTATATCGCCTTGCACCGCCATCGTCTTTAGTTAATAACTTTTTTCCTAATTCAGTCTCATTTTTTTTCTAAACGGTTTTATATTCTGAGACATTTAAGCAATAGAAAACAATTTTTCTTTTTTTGTTAGGACATTGGAAAGACTATTAGTTATTAACATTTTATAAACAAATAATATAAAAAAATATTAAAAATTAAAATTTTTTTTTAGAAAAATTATTTTTGAATACTGCATTTCATGACGAAGAAAACTAATTTTTTTATTTTTAATTTGGTTAATTAGAACTGGAGAAAAAATTATTTAATTCAAGAGTGCTAAAAATTTAAATTGTTAATAAGGTCAGTTGGGGTAAATAGGGACAAAATCGCTATTTTTCACAAATCACATAAGTTTCTTCCTTTGAAAGGTAATATTTGCGGGTTTATATTTTTTTAAGTTGTTATTTACGTTCCCAGGATTAATTTTATGGAGCAGAAAAAAATTTAGATAAGCTTTAAACGCATGAAACTGACTGTCCCCATTTACCCCAAAATTTAAAAAATTTCATAAAATTCGGGGTAAATGGGGACAGCATAGTTTCTAAGAAAGTTTTAAGAAAAAAGTTTCTTTAAGTATATTACTGTATTAAGGGATGAAAAAACTTGAAAAAAATTTGTAGTAGATATATAATAGTAGAACGAATTGAAATTTTTTTTCATTTCAGTATTTTGTCTCGCATTTGAAAAAAAAAACAGACTTAAAAATCATACCAAATTTTTTTCTTATTCCTTATGACTCCCATAACAGAAATTAACTTGAATTTTTGATTTTTGTTAATTTGGTTAATATTGACAAACTGTCCCCATTTACCCCAAAAATTTGAAAACTCAGGGTAAATGGGGACAGCTTGTCATTATTAACCAAATTGACAGTGAATTGAAAGTGAATTTCTGTTATGGGAGTCATAAGGAATAAGAAAAAAAATTTGGTATGATTTATAAGTCTGTTTTCTTTGAAATGCTCGACAAAATACTCAAACAGTTTGAGTTTGATTTTCAAGTTTTTATGCATTGAGCGATAACTTTTTTTATCTTGCTGCCAATAATTGTCAAGATAAAAGCTTGGCAATACTCTAAACCTCTTGCAGGTGATCTGCGGTTAAAATATTGACGTTGAACTTAATTTAAAAATTGTAAATTAAGGTCCAAAACCTTTTGTCCCCATTTACCCCAACTGACCCTAATTAACTTAATTTTTTAATGGTAATTAATTAATTAATTTTTTTTTACTTGAAAATTTCAGAAACTTTTTTTTCTCCTATAAGGAGTCAAAAAATCATATTCTCGGTTTAAAAATAAATTATTGAATTTTAGGTGATCCGTTTGAGAAATTCTGACCCTATTAATTAATATCTCGAAAATAAAAAAAAAAGACATCTCAATATTTTTTCTGGTGAAAATACACATTTTTAACTTTAAAAAAAAAAATAATAATTTAAAAAAAATCGATCTTAAAAAAAAAGTCAAGAAAAGTTTTATTTTCAAAAAAAGGGTCAAAATTTTATTTTTTAGAAAAATTTTTTGCACCATTTGAAAGAGCAGGATAAAATCTTTCGAAACATATAGGACAAATTTTTCTTCTTCTTTCTGTTTAAAAGTTACAAGTCTTCAAATATTCACTGTTTAAATTTTTCAAAAAAAATCAACTCCCTCCCTCTCCTACAGTTTTTGAAAAAACCTAACAATACTTCGTGGTTAAAGTACTCAACTTTTTTTCACTTAGTACGCTACAGGAATTTTACCCCATACATATAACTATTTCAGCATAAAACAAAAACGTTCAAAACCAATTGTAAATGATACTTCTAATATTCCAAAATGTATTACATATCAAAAAAAAATGTGCTCCTCCATTAAAACTAAATGTCAACAATTCAAAAAGTGTTACTCCAATTTTTCAGTACTAGGAAGTCACAAGATTTTTTTCATTTTGTGCTTTTAGCAGTAACGCGATTCTAATTTTTTTGAATGAGCTTATTCCTTACAAAAAGATGAATAAATTGAGACCTTATTAAACCGTTTGCCTCTTAAAATAAAGATAATATAACAATAATTATGTATATACCTTCAAGCGTGAATGGTTATAAATTTAGATTTTTTTAATGGTACACTCAGAGTTTAAAGAATAATCGGTTGAAACTTTTGCGTGAACGGTAGATAATATTATTATAATAATCATATTTCTCAACGCTAAATATGTACTCCAATTAATAAATTTAAAAAATGTTTCAAAATTGTCATCTTTAAGGGGAGATTACGGTGATTTTTTTCATTTTTGGTTAGTATAACTATTTAAGAACACGGAACAATTAGTCTAAAGTATTTCCAAGGTCTAAAACTGATATAAATTGAGCAGCAACATTCAATAACTCACCAGCACGCGAACGCACGCGTTTATACTAATCGTTTTTTTAAATAAATATTTCTCATTCTAGTCCACACGAAAGCTAAAATAGTACAGATTAAGAAAATTTTTTGTTTTTTTATTTTAGATTAACTTTTCCTGAGAAAAAGTGTGACAAATTTTTAAAATGAACCACTTTCAGCAGCCATTTTTTATTAGATTGTTTAAAAAATAATTGATTTCGACTCTTTAAAATGTATAAAATGTGTGTTCTCATAATTCTAACGTTACCAAATGAAAGTTGACATAATTCCGCATCCAACGAGCTCTATATGAAGTATTTTGGATAAGTAGATTGTTAATAAACAATTGCAATGCTAACTAATTGTTTATTAACAATCTACTTTTCTCAAAATAATTCATATAAGACTCGTTTGATGCGGAATTACGTTATTTTGCTTTTTTTCGAAAATACTGGTTTTATGACTTTTCAAAAAACGTCGGGAGTTGTGCCCCACCGTTAAAAATTGAAGAAAAAAACATATTTTTTAGAATATTCTTTATTTAAATTATGAAATGTGAAAAAATAAGATAACTTACATAAAATAAAGTAATAGATAAGTTAATAAAAAATTAATTTTAGATAATTTAGATAAAATTAAATTATTTTAAAAATAATTTAATTAAACTAGGTAATTAATTTCATTTACAGTGAATACAGATATAAAAAGTCTCATTTCACTAAAGAACAATATTTAAATTGCATAAAACATTCTAATTATTAATAAATAATGCAAAATAAAAATAGAGAGTGCGTATTAGAATTAAAAACTATTAAATATGATGTGAGACAGAACTCCCCGCTAACGTTGGAGCACAACTCCCCATTTTCTACATTTTCAAAATAGTCATAGAATAATTGATACAACAAGTCAAAAAAAACTTTTAGAACAAAATTTTAAATCACTATCTGTAAAGGCACGAAAAATGCTTCCAAAGATGACGGGTACCACTTAAAACGTTAGTTCTTAACGAGAAAATAATATGCCAATAGTTTAAATTTGTCATATTAATTCCCATAATAAAAAAATTAACGTGGAGCACGACTCCCCACTCTCCACTATGTATTATAGTTATTTCGACGTAAAACCTGTCATATATTTTAGGACACCCTTTATAGGATAAATGCGTGCAATTTCAAACAGTATTGATAGTCAGACTTTTCAGCATAAAACAATAAAATTATTTTCTTTTTTACTTGACAAATGTTCGACTGATGTGCGAAATTACTAATAGTGCCAGACAACTGCAGTTTTTATGATTTTTTTTATTAAAATATGTATATTTCGTTAAATATCACAGTAATTTCAGAAAATATACACCCAATCAGCACAAAAGCTTGCAACATACTTGCAGTAAGCTTGCCTCGCTAGGTGTGCAGGCTTGTGGCAAGAATAATTTTTAATTAAGTCAAACTTAATCTTGTTGTTTGAGATACGACTCATTTTTGAATATATACTGAGCAATCTTGCAGTAAGTTTGTTAAGTAAGCTTGCCACAAACTTGCACATCTTGCACGGTAACCTTGTTGCAAGTTCATGTGCTAATTGGGAGTATATAGTTTTTTAATCGTAAGAGTTCTGTAATTGATAATGTTATTTATTATTTCAAGAAAAAAGCATTAAATCAGATCCTATCATTAAGTGTCCGACTATGCTTCCGCTTTAACCCTATACTAAATAATAAAATAAGAAATACATTTTTTCAGAGACATGCATACAACAGCTAAAAATGGAAGAAAATTAATGTCGCTATTTAATTATAACAAGCGTTACAAATTATTACAAAAGTGTGAATATATTAAAAGAATGTTAATTTTTGGAAGAAGAAATTCATTTGAACAAATTGACTGCTTTATAAAGGAGTTGTGATTCTAATGATTGTACAGAAAGTGAAATTATTTATTTCAATAACAAGAATAGAAAAGAATATTATGAAAATTGAAAAGATAAAAGAAGTGAGATTTTCTTCGTCTTTATTGGTGTAAACTAAAAACAGAGAAGTACAGTAGAAAAAATAAACGAATGTTTAGGTTATAGTATAGGTCGATGACTGACTTTGAAAAATGTACAATTATTTCTAATAAAAAATAGACGGGATTAAAAGAGTTTCGATATAAACAGAAAGTTATCGGCATTTGATATTAAATTGTTACTTACTAGAGCTGAAGGAGGTTGAAGGAAGAAATCGTTGCATATTGCTATATAGTTCAAGCTGTTGATCAGAAAAAGTTGCAATCGAATTTGACTGTAAATCTCAAGTAATATTTTTACGTTAAGAGTAGTGAATTTGAATTGAGAATTTTGATTTCCGATTATTAATGATGAAAAGTCGGAAAAATTGAGCAGTTTAGTGGAGTGGTTCGGTCTTGTTGGATGTCTACCCACCCACGCACTGTCTAGTTAATTGGTATGGAAAAAAGTGCATCGTATTATGGAAACTGTGTGGACGAGGCGTCGAGATGAAGAGAGCTGTTTTGCTACATGACACAGATCGGCGAAAGATTTCTTTGGCAGACAGTATAAATAAGTAGTGAATTTTCTGGCAGCGATTACGGCAGTGGTTGACAGTAGCACTTGAGGAATTGAAAATAGTCGGTTAAGCCGACACATGTGTTTAGTTGCAGTGTGATAAAATACTTGCGCGATTCCTCTTCAGTTCGCTATGAGATCAAAAAATTTATGTCCATCCTTGATTTCTATGTAATTTTCATGCACTCGCGGCAAAAAAAACAACGATTTCTTTCCCTCGGTTAGCTATCACAGTTTGTCATTTCTCATCGCAACCCAGATTGGTGGTAGTAACTTAGTAAGACATCGACATCGAAAACATCGATGCTGTTGTTGTTGTTTTGGCTACGATACCCTGCTTTTCAGCAATATTTTATATGGGGAAAATCACATAGGGTATTTTTGGCAGTTGCTTGAGTAAAACAAGGCCCAATCCAAAGGTCTACACCAACAGCATGTTCATGCTGATTGGGCCATAGTTTACTTTAAGGGTGAAATCACATGAAGGCGTAAAAGCAACTGCAAGCGTCATAGGAAAAACGAAAACCACTGGAGTGACAGAGATAGTGATATGATATCAGTCCATTCCTTTCACTCGCATGGTTTCTGCTTGCCGACGCTTTTATTTTATGCTGATTCTTACGGAAGCTTCTACGCGCCACCTCTTAAGGCCCCGTCCCATGACAACGTGAAACGCCGGCCTTAAAGCGGAAAGCATGAGAACGAAAGAGATGAACATATCTTACTATCTCTTTCGTTCTCATGTTTTCCGCTTTCACGCCGGAGTTTCACGCTGTCATGGGACGGCGCCTTTAACGAGGCGAAACCAACTTATGCTCGTTTCATATTTAGCATACAGAACATCGATGTTTGAATCTTCTTGTCGTAAAGAACATACAAGTTGGTTCGATAAATCCATTCATCTTTAAATTATAAGATGAAATTTGTTGTATTTAAATAATCTATATGTATAATAATTGCAATGAATTTTTTAATATTAATATAACAATAATTAATATTAAAAATATTAAAGTAAATGAATAAATATAAATTTATATACAGGGTGTTCAAAAAGTTGCAAGTATATATTTAAACATAACCTTATATAAAAATGAATCTATATATTATATAAAAACACAAGAATCTAACTCACTTTAAAATATCTATATTCTCTATATTTAAAATTAAAAAATTTACTCAAATTATTCAACGTAAAAAATATTTCATCTTATAATGATTTTTTAATGAGCAATGTCGAACCATAGAACCAACTTGTGTGTTCTTTACGACAAGAACATTCAAACATCGATGTTCTGTATGCTATATATGAAACGAGCATAAGTTGGTTTCGCCTCGTTAAGAGGTGGCGCGTAGAAGCTTCCGTAGATTCTACACTAAACGAGCCGCCCCAACTTGGCGGGACGATTTGCGTGATGTATACGAAGATAGAGATAGTCTATGTCTTTGTCTAACTTTGCGTTAGCCTTTTAGTACAGTCATGAGGCAACACATGCATTAAATAAGGACAAAAAAGCGTAGGAGTAAGAGAGAGAAAATTCTATGTATTTACTACCTCTATTATATCTGTTCTCTCTTGGCCGTATATGCCTATACTTTTTCGTCCTTTTTCAACTCACATGTTGTCATGGCAATATGTTAGAAGAGGACAAAAATGAATAGTGCTGAAACGTAATGTGCTTCGTAGCGTGCTCCGTCTCCGTATCTTACGGAAGCTTTGACGATGCTTATTTGTTTTGATTGCAAACCCAGAATAATTATTTTAATGTTATTACCGTGTTTTAATAAATAAAATGAAATCAAATGTAAAATTATCTGATATACTTAATTAAACAATATTCATATTCTTGTTAGAATTTATTAAACAATTGGATTTTAAATGTGCTTTCGTTTTATTAGTTTAAGGATGGAGTTACATGTTGATGTAAATGCAGAATGCAATACCGAAAATAGTGAGAGTGAAAAGGACAGGGATATATCACTATCCTCTTCACTCTCATTATTTTCGGTTTTGCATTCTGCATTTACATCAACATGTAACTCCAACCTAAGGTTAATGAATAATCGTTTTGTTAAAAACAAAATTTAAAAAAAATTATTTCTGAAAATTTTATATTTATTCTGTCATATTATATACATATATCTGCTGATACAATTATTTAGAAAGAAAATATTAAAAAATAGAGAAATATGTTACTGATAAAAAGGTTTCAAGATAAAGTTGACTTTTAATACGTTAAATAAAAAATAACATTATATATGTATATTTAACAACATTTAAACATAAAGAAATGAAATTATTATTTGATTTTTAACTTGTAATTTATGTAGAAACGAATTAAAATTTTAAGACTTAAACAAATGGATAAACGTAAACATTTTTGCACTTATTATTATTTAATCACTACATAAATAATATTCTATTGATAATGTTAACCAGTACCTATAAAAATCTATTTATGCTTATAATTTAATTTTTATTAAATTGTTTTGTTACATTTGATGTCATTTCATTTATTAAAACACGGTAATAACAATAAAATAATTATACTGGGGTTGCAATCAAAACAAATAAGTATCGTCAAAGCTTCCGTAAGAAACGGATACGGAACACGCTACAAAGCACACTACGAGGCACGCATCGAAGCACCCTCCACTGAACTATATATATCTGGAATGCTGTCTGCCATTGAAAATCGCGAACTGTGAGAGAGGGCTGATTCTTGCATTCCCCTCTTTGTCGGTACAGGTCCATTAGAAAATATTTAGCAGTATGTATACGTGAACATGACATAACACAGTTAACAGTAAACTTTTGGAACGTATTGTACTACGCCTGCGCAGTTTAGCAAGAGAAGGAGAGGGATACAAGAATCAGACCTCTCTCTCGGTTCACGACCATCAATCCTGGTCAGACATCATTCCAGATATATAGAGTTCCAGCAGTGGTTCGGTCTGATACTACTCCATGGTTACAGCCCTCATCACCAGAGATTCGAGACCTGTTCATAGGACCGTGGTAGAATGATAGAAATGGCGCCAAGTTCTGATGTTAATTTTGTTACTTATTTTAAAAATCATAATAAAGTGCGAGAACAACAAAGTCATACAGCAAAAGTTCACAGCGTTGGATGGAGTTGCGATGGAAAGTATTTAGCTTCTGGTTCTTTTGACAAATGCGTTTGCGTTTTTTTACTTAGCACCGATCGTCTGGTAAATATTTATTTTCAAAAAAATTTTTCAACATTGTTTAAAGATAATTTTTTAGAAAAAATTTTTCTCTTAAAAAATTTCATTTTGTCAGATATTAGAAACAAATAATAAAAATAATAAAATCATAGAATAAAGAAAATAAACTTCAGGTATAATTTGTAGAATAGGTTATGTTTACATTTTTACGAAGTGTTCTTGGAAAAGTGCTGTGCTTGCCTACAGATCATGATCCGTGTCACAAAAAGGTGCTCAATTGCGTTCAAGTGTAATTATGAACAAAACTAAGAAAAATTATTTTTAAAAAACTTGCCATTAAGCACGACTGAGTGATCTGGATCATGATCCGTGGATACCACGAAAACACCCATTGAATACACTTTTAATTTTTTATATTTATTTTCAGAAAAAGTTGCCTTTAAACTTATTTACGAAGATTAAATAAGAATTATTTAAAACGTAAACATTGCGCAGCGACTGAGGCAATTGCACCCTCATAAGACAAGGACGCATCATTATGTTCTAAAAATCATTAGTTAGAATTTTCATTTTCGGGAAATTCATTTGTCATAATTTTTTATTTGTTCGAATTATTATTTTGCAGAATTTTCATAAAAACTATTTTCTATATTACAGAATTTTTATATAACCGAAAATTCACTTCACTGAATTTTTATTTGCACAAATTTTCATTTAACATAAAATTTTAAAGAATTTTTATAGGGTAGAATTTCATTGCATAGAATTTTCTTACAGATGAATTTTCATTTGTTGAAATTATTATTTGATATAATATGCATTTAACCGATTTTTCGTACTACAGAATTTTTATTTAACCCGAAAAATAATTTAATAGAATTTCTAATTTCATTTATTCGAAATTGCAAATGGCCGAACAAATAATCAACAGAAAGATTCGTCGAGATTTTTAAAATCCACCAATAAAAAATTATCTATAAAATTGTGATTGGTTGATTTTAAAAATCGCGCCGAAATCTTTCTGTCGATTGTTTGTTCGGACAAATGAAAATTCTATCAATTGGAAATTTTGTTAAATGATTTTCGGTTTTATAAAAATTCTGTAACATAAAAAATCGTTTTGATGAAAATTCTGCAAAATACTAATTCGAACAAATGAAAATTCTAACTAATGATTTTTATAACATAATCATGCGTCCCAAAATATCGTATAACCTTAGCTGTACACCGACTGAGTCATTTACTTTAAAAACACATTTGTAAATGTGTTCTTGAATGTGTAATTTTTTAAAATTGTTTCTTCTTCGAATATGTTCTGAACAATATAATGTAATTAAAAGTTATTAAATTTGAATTTGTTCAATTTTGTTAAGAAAGAAATTAATTTCAATTCCAATATGCACACAAAGATTCAAATTTAGCTTGGCTGAAATATATGTTTTTTTAAAATTTATATTCACCGAAATCTTGTTCTAAATATAGCTATCATATGAATAGATAAGTTTCAAATACTTGATAGTTAAAGCAAAATATTTTAATATATTTTTACTTAGAAATTATGTAAAATAATGATATTTATTATTAACTAATAACTTAAAGTAATAGTAGATATTCTTTATAATCTCCTTCAATATTTTTAGAAACAAGAAACCACATTTCGTGGTCATCTCGGAAGTGTTGATCAACTTTGTTGGCACGCTTTTCATCCAGAGTTATTATCGACAGCGAGTGGTGATAAGACAGTGCGAATATGGGATATGAGATCTCAAAAATGTACAGCAAATATTGGAACCAGAGGTGAAAATATAAATATTTCCTGGTCTCCAGATGGAAATACGATAGCTGTTGGAAATAAGGAAGATCTTGTCACGTTTATTGATGCCAGAGCACAGAAAATTAGAGCTGAGGAGCAGTTTAATTTTGAAGTAAGTTTCCAGAAGAGAATTTTAAATTTTAGAGTAGAGTGGATCAAAGTAATTAATTTTTTATACTTCCAACTGATGTTCTGAATCCAGAACCAATGAAATAAAAAAGTTACACAACTAAATGAAGCGCAGTGTATTTATAAAACTTCTAACATTTACGATTTTATTTTAAAAAACAAGTACAATTAGTTTATTTAAAAATTTACAAAATTGTTATATGCACCATTCGAAAGAGAGGTTTTGGGCACATAAGAAATGTTTATTGCAAAATTTTTTCCATAAAGTTTAAATTCTAAAATACTGTGTCAAACTTTGACAAAAATTATTTTTAAGCATCCCCCTAAATCCAATTACCTGTTTCTTTTTAGTTTTTAGCTACAGTCCAAAAACTATCAAAAAAATTTTTTTTCAATCGCTGCCATTTTCTTATTTTTAATATTTTTTATCGGGGTTAGGGGGATGCTTAAAAAAATGTTGTTCCTTTAAATAAAGTAATAAGCGAGAAATGTTTTTTTCTTGAAACCATTTTTACAGCTTGAATAGTGTAATACTACATTAAGTGTACAAGAAATATTAAGTTCAAAGTACGCAATTTCTGTATTTTTGCGCAACTTTATATGTACCTCCGTTAAAATAAAAAAAAGATATTGAACTTTTACATTTAAATCGAACCAGTATTTTTTGAAATCCTGATGAAATAGGTAGCTTTAGAGTCCAAATTCATGCTCAGTGCGAAATATATTTTTAGCAAAACTATGTAAATACTTTAACCGAGCGAGGAATATATTCTTAGAAAAGATTTCTTCACATTTGATATTATATTAAAAGTTGTAATTTTTGTACATTGAATTTAATTCGTTGTTAATTTTCAAGGTGAACGAGATTTCTTGGAATAAAGACTCTGACACATTTTACTTGACCAATGGACAAGGTTGTGTACACATTTTAAGTTATCCAGATTTGGAATTACTTCATGTAATCAAGGCTCATCCGGGTACATGTATTTGTATTGAATTTGATCCTACTGGGCGATATTTTGCAACAGGATCAGCTGACGCTCTTGTATCTCTTTGGGATGCCGAAGAATTGTGCTGTTTGAGAACTTTTTCAAGACTGGAATGGCCAGTGAGAACAATTTCTTTCTCCTACGATGGAATGCTCCTTGCTGCAGCATCCGAAGATCTTGTAATTGATGTTGGAGAAGTTGAAACAGGAGAAAAAATAACTGATATTCCTGTAGAGGCTGCAACATTTACTGTAGCATGGCATCCCAAACAGTATTTATTAGCTTACGCTTGTGATGATAAAGATACATACGACAGGAAAAGAGACGCTGGAAGTTTAAAAGTATTTGGATTTCCAAATGAATAAAAAAGTGCCATTTATTGTAAGAAGTAACATATAAGTATAACGGTTAGAATTTATAAGTTAAAATATAGTGGAAACTATACATTCTTTTAATTTGCAATTTTGAAAGAAAAATTTCCCAAAATTAATTATTTTCTCATGTAAATAATTTTGAATTTTACAGTTTAATAAAAATATATAAATTAATAAAATTTGATTCACATTTTTTCAGTTTTTACAATTTTAAAGAAGTGGTATTACTACATTAAATAATTTAATTTGCGTAAAGACTCCCCTATAGAATAATCGTAATGCATAATTTTAATGTTTTAGGTCATATAAGGGTCATTTTACGTGATGCGGACAATCCTGATCTTAGTTTGTTTTTCAATATTTTAAGTTTATTAAAAATCCATTAAACGAAACAAATAGGTTGTGGACTTTTTAGTTTTAATTAGATTAATTTTAACTTTAAAAATTGGAAATTTTTTTTTAATGATTTAAAAGTTATTTAATTTACACAAAGTAGCGCAAGTAGAATTCGGGGTTTAAGTTCACGACGCTAATCCCAATTCGACTTGCACTATTTTGTACAAATTAAATAACTTTTAAACCATTAAATATAACATTCTACAATTTATTATTTATTTATTTAAAATTTGATTCTCAATTTTTAAAGTTAAAATTTATCTAATCTTCAAATTAATAAATGTACAAGGAAAGAAGAATGTATTGAATGTTACTACGATATAAATTACTGTAATATTTAAAAGAAAAATTGAAAACAAGCTAAGATCTCTATACGCCAATAAAATCAATTTCTTGTAACTAGAATTGATTGATTTGATTGGCTTGATACTTTGATAAATTGTTGTCCTATATGAAAGTAACAAAATCGTAAAATATAAACTCATTTAAAAATAAATTAAAAATTTGTCAATAGAATTTTTTGAAGGGTTTTTCATGTACTTTTCAATGCAAAAAAATGTTATACCACTTTTCTTATTGAAGCCAGAATAGTAAAAATAAAAAGGACACTATATTTATGTAAGGGTTTGTTTAATAATGTTTTTTATAATGTACAAGAATAATGTGTAAGTTACAGAAGAAAGAGACTAACTGAGAGGGTGACGACGAACAAAGGTTCAAAAGTTTTACACAAACAATATAGATGTCGCCACATCAATCAAATTTAAACTTCAAAGATTGTCATATCAATTAAACATTTCAATTAAATATTTTGTTAAATATTATCAAATATCTCAAGTAGCACGTAATATAACTGGTTAATATTACTGTAATGTAACTGCAATATTACAGTAATATTACTGTATAATATTACGTGCTACTTGGGATTATTTTTAATTTTTTGAGAGAAAATGTAAAACAAGGAGGGGGTCCTTTATGTTTATTTCATAAACATTTTGCTTCCTCGTAGAGGAAGCTATGAATTACTCTAATTCAATTAATTGATTTAAAACATTTCGAGTTAAAAACTGATTTAAATTAATTAAATTTTTTGAAAAATTAAGAAAATTTTAAATCATTTTGGGTGTAACACTTTATATATACGAATCGATTAGTCTTAATGCAAGGAATTCAATTATTTTATGTATTAAGGGGGTAGTCTGGTGTTTCGATGCCTTTTTGGGAGCTTATTTCAGGATTTTTTTTTATTATAAAATAAAATATAATCACACCAAATCTTTTTACTTCGTTTTATTCTAATCATGAAGTGTTGAAAAAAATTATAATCGATTATTTTTACTAGATTTTGTTATTTATATTTAATATTAATGTTTATAACAAAAAAATGCTGGCGCAGATGATTAACAAAAATCTATCCGACCGATTGTTCCAATTTTTTTACAGCTTATTATACACACGCATGGCTCTGGCCCGTACTAGAATAAAACATTTTTGTTAGTAAATAACAAAATAGCGGACTATATAAGCAAAAAGATTCAAAAATTGTCTCTTTTTTTATTGACAAAAAGTTAAAAATAAAAAAAAGTTATCATTAAAATTGCGTAATTCTAGTACGGGCCACAGCCATACTTGTGTAAAATAAGCTAAAAAAAAATTGGAGCAATCGATCGAACAGACTTTTGTAAATCACCTGCGCCAGCATTTTTTTGATATAAACATTAATATTAAATATAAATAACAATGTCTAGTAAAAAATAATCGATTATAATTTTTTTCAACACTTCAAAAGGAGAATAAACAAGTAGGGTGTCCTTTATGTTCATTTCATGAACATTTTGCTTCCTCATTATATGATGCAAAAAATTTGCTTCCTCATGGAGGAAGCAGTAACACTGAAATTAATATACATAAAAAAATTGTGTTTGTTTAAATTCAAGTTTAAACATAAAATTATTGCATTCCTTGCATTATAATAAATCGATTGGTATGTATGATATATATTTAAATTATTATTATTATTATTTAAATTGAAAGAGTTAATGAAAGTTTAAAAAAAGGAATACAATTATTTTATATTTGAACATGAATTTAAATAAACACAAAATTTCTTTGTTAAAATGTAAATTTTTTATTTTTTAACTTTCATTAATTGTTTTAATTTAACGCAAATGTATACTTTAAACATACCAGTCGATTCGTTTCAATGCAAGGAATACAATTATTTTATGTTTAAACTTGAATTTAAATAAAAACACAATTTTTTAGCTAAGACGTAGGGGAGACCGGGGCTGAAAGTGCCGATTTTGAGAAAACTAAAGAAAATACTAGTAAAATGACAACTTTTTATTTTACTTCATAGTCTATCTTTTGTGAAATTTAATGTAGTTTTTGAATCCAGTATTATTTTTTGATAATATTGAATAGTTTTTTTGTAAAAATTGATTTTCTGCAGCGAGGCGAAGCGACACATCGAGCTACGCCCTGGGGAGAGTTGTGCCGACGCCTGGGTCGGTTGTGCCGCTCAGATTTTGTAGTTGCTTAACTTGAAGCAAATGATTTTACGTGTAAGAAATAAAATAATTATTTCCAATATATGATTTAATATTATTTAGTAATATATTTTTATAAACATTTAAAGGTTTTTGTGAACAATCTTAGGATTTCTAGATTTTAGTACCACTTTTAGTAGGTAAAAATAAACAATTTCTGACTTATATTCTATAATTACATAGTTAGTCAGTCACTTAAAATATAGTTTTCGTAATAAGTATTTTTATTATAAACATTCAAAAGATTTTTCCAACAATCGTAACACTTATAGATTTTTATAAATAAATAAACATTTCTGACTTAAATTTTACAATTACATAATTAATCAGTCTTTTAAAATATTTTTTCAAATAATTATTTGTATCGTTAATTAAGTGTTAAAACTCTACTTTCTGATTAATAAATAGTTTTTAAGGCGTAAATACTTATTCCGAATGCGATTTATTGAAATTACAATTGACACACAATTGACCCTTTTTTTACACTTCACACATTTTAAATGTGCCCAGTTTTTGCAAACTATGCATTGAATCAACTTTTCTCTTGATTTCGGGTTGGAATAACTATTCGAACAAACGAGGCAATAGTATAGATTATGGTTATGTAGCGATTGACAGCGGCACAACCAGCCCCAAGCGAAAGGCACAATTAACCTCGTTGCGTCAACGCTCACTTTTTATCATATATTAAAAAAGTAGATAAATAAAATGTTAAGATCAATACACCATTGAATCCCTCGATAAATTTGGATCATTTTAAAAAAAAATACGTATCGATATCTTTAAAAATGCAAAAAATAGACCAAAAAGTGTAAACATGAAAACTTGCACGTAAGTGACGCCAAAGCACCAAATTACTAACAGCTAATTATTCCGTAAAGCAAACAAAATCAAAATAGTTGCCAAAGATGCGCATAAGTAAAACAATACTTCACTCACTTCCACTTTTCAAAAAAAAAATTTTCTTTTTGAGATATTCCTATCGGCACAACTTACCCCCGGCACTTTCAGCCCCGGTCTCCCCTAAATTTTTTATTTCTTAAATTTCATTAATTTTTTTAATTTTATTCAAATGTATACTTTCTATATACTAATTGATTTTTTTCAATGCAAGGAATAAAATTATTTCATATATAAACTTGAATTTAATCAAACACATCATTTTTTAGCTAAAATGAGAATTTTTGATTTTTTAACTTTCATTAATTCTTTAAATTTCAATCAAATCTATACTTTATATATATATCAATCGATTCATCTTGACATAAAGAAGACGATTATATTATATATTACCTTAAATTTTTCGATTTAAAAATTTTTTCAATTAAAAAAAAATTTTGGAAAAAAGACGATAAAATTTTTTTTTTTGGGTATTTTTAAAAATCCTCTAGTCATTTTTGAGAGATTAATGTGTTAAATAAGCCTACCAAATTTTACCCAAATCCATTAAAACCTGTTAAAGATATCGTGTTCACAAAAACTATCCACACACACACACACACACGGACAATTGATCAGGATCTCATATAACATGTTTCTATATAGAGAAAAATTTGTTTTCATCATTTTTAAAAATTTTATAAACGAAAGGACTACATAGCTTCCTCCACGAGGAAGCAAAAACAATTTTTTGTCATAGTTTTCATATTATATCGCAAACTCATCGTAGTTCCATTTTTTTATTTTATAGTGTGTTCGAAAAAATATTCTAACAGTATAATGATGGCTAATAGCTCAAAAAAAGCGTCTTAAAAAACTCTAAAAATTAAGAACCCAAGTTATTATTTTCCCAAAGGACGTTTTTTCCAAAACTTATTTTCTTTTATTTCAAAAATTTTAATGTGTAACTTCAAGTTAGGAAACATTAATTTCTTGTTATTTTCAATATACATTAACATTTGATGTGCGCTCTTTCCGAAACTGTAGTTAAATATATATAACTAATACAAATTGCCGGATTCTCATGGCCTAATCCTCGAAGAAATAAATGTTAATATAGTTTTGAATTTTTAAAATTATGGAGATAAAGATTATATTCTTGGATGTTTAAAAACCATCGTGTACTACTTACATTTTTAATCTTATCTTTTTTTTTGTACTCTTAACTTCTTTACCAGTTTAAAATATTTTAAAAACACTTTATATTGAAAATTACATAAAAAACTTTATTTAATATATACTTTTTACACTAGTAACAAGCAGTGAATTATATTTTACATTTAATGATAGTGTATTTTCCTTAATATGGTTGTAATTGAGTCGTTCTCTTTCACTAATGATGAAAGTTGAAATATTTTCATTCCTATCAGTTTCTTTTTTTAATTTTTCTTCGAGTGTATCAATTTGCAAATAGTTTTCGTTTTGTAGTAAACGGTGTTTAATGCCGTCAAACTGTTTTAATGAAAATTCTAATTTATCAACAACAGCCGGCAGATGATCTTTAAGTTGATTGCGTTCTTTTAAAAGTTCACCATTTGTGGCCCTTAATTTTACTTTCAGACTGTCTAAATCACCTAATACCAATAGTTCACTGTTATACTTTTCAATATTTTGTTTATTATTAATTAATTCAGTTCTCAGTAGTTTATTAAAGTTTCCTATTTTTATTAGTATACTGTTTAATCGAAAAAATTCCTTTTCCATGCTCTTTAAGTTTAGATCATTATTTATATTATTAAATTCCATGTATGTATTGTTTAAGGCTTCTAATTTTTTATTCTCTGATAACTCATTTAATTCACCATCAATTTCCCTAGATATATGCTCTAAACATGCAGTGACACTTTCAGTCAATTCTTTGAACTTGTTTAATTCAGCTTCCTTATTCTCCTTAAAGGACGCCATAAATTCTTCCATTACTTGTTCTCTTTTACGAAGTTCTTTATATTTCAGCAATTTTTCTGCCAAAGACGCATCAACATTATTGTCCAACTGCTCAATTTCTTGCTCTATTTCCATTATTCGTTTCTTAGCTGCTGTTATACGACGTTCAGATACAGTTATATCAGTATTATCTTGTTTAACTTTTTGAAGAAGAGATTTTTTCTCTTCTTCGGGAGAAAGCCTTTTCTTATCCTCTTCACGTAGTGCGTTTCTCTTTTTTGCAATTTCCATTATTTTCGATTGTAACTTTACGGCTTCCTGTTTTATTTGCGATAGTGCGATATTTTCTTCTAAACTCAATTTCTGTGATGACAAATTATCTAAATTATATTGCATTTCCTCAACACTTTTTTGAAGTTTAATTTTTTGTTTACACAATTCATTGTATTTTTTTAAAACAATTTGATTCATATTCTCAACTATCTTCTCTGTATTTGATCTTTCTGCGACCAGGGCCTTTTCAATTGTAAGTAATTGTTTTTCTTTTCTTTGTCGTTTATTAAACATTGTTTCTATTTCAGATAGAGCAATATCGTTAAGTTGAGAAAGTTCTGTAGCTTCTTGTTCAATAAAACTTTTACCCGTATCTACTGTCATTTTATCCACAACAATATTGTAGTCTGCCAATTTACTTTGATATTCAATTAATTCGGCTGCAAGTCCCTTTGCTCGTTGATCATAATGTAAAAATGTCACCCTTTGTTTATTCTGTAAATCCACCTCCTTAGAAATATTTGATATCTCTTGTGCCAGCTCTCTTATCTTAAGTTGTATTTGCCCTTCGTAGTAACGTTTATCTTGTATTTGTCTAAAATTTTCAACCAAAATGTAATATATTAAATTAAAAATGTATTTATTTTAATTCTAAAAATAGAATTTTTTACTAACTTCTTTTAAGGAATAATCAGAAAAAATAATAAATTAAATAACTTAATACTTAATAATACAGGTTCCTTAAAATTTAGAAAAAACTAAAATATGGGCTCAGGGGGCAAGGATAGTTAGATATATTACTGCTCGATAAAATCCTGCTAATGCGATTGCAAATTATAAAAAAATGTTTAATTGTTCTTTTTAGGTTGATATACATAATGGTGCGTAATTATATACGGAAAACGAAGCTTATTGCGACCAAGAAATTGGTGATCATCTGAAGAACATTGGTTAAAACTCAGATTCTAGTTTAGACGAATTTTAATGCAATAATTGATATTTATAAAATGTTCAAAACATGTGATTAATTCTTTATATATCAATATTGAATAGTCTAAATCCAATAAAATAAAGAAAATGAAAATTTACTGATTTTCTATGACATTTTTAGCATACGGATTCTGCCCCGGTACTGGGGCAAGGATATTTAAAATTTTTTTTTTACTTTTTCATTCGTATCTCGTAGGGACTGCAGTCTACAGCAAAATAATGTATAGCAAAATTATAGCCAAATAACCAGGCTTTCCAAAAGTACTACTCATTTGTAGATACAAATTCAGGTTAATTTAGTCGCTAGATTCGAAAACGTCTTACCTAACTATTCATGCCCCATCCTCCCCTAAGTAAATAAAAAGTATCAAAAAGTAGCCGTTAAAAAATATTTTTTCGCATTTACAGAACAATTATTCTTTAATAATTCAAATCATTCCGTTTTTAATTTAAATTAGTTTTAAAATTCGGGATTATCTTAAAAATAACTGTTTAATGTTGTTAACCCAGATAGCACAAATGTTTACAGCAAATTTGCAATGCCAAATTGCAAGTGAGCATTGTGGAAAATATATCCATATGTCCACCCTTTTTCAACTTTGTAATACAAACTTGCTCTAAATATGCTAAATAAGGTTTCTATAAATAAAATTTTTAAGTTTTCTTAAAAATTATTTTGTCAATTTTTTTAGAATATCAAAATAATTAAATCACAGGAAAAGATGGGAGAAATAAAACAAATTTTTTCAAGAACGCTTTAAACATTTTTTTTTATATTTTTTTATATTTAAATTATCTATTATTAAATAAAATTCTAAAAAATTGACAAAATGACTTTTAAAAAAACTTAAAATTTTAGTTTCAATTTGGATTTCTATCAACTTTTTTTCAAATATATGAACAAATTTTAGCTATCTCCATAAGAATCAATATTAAAAGTTAAAAAACACGCACGTACATCCTTAAAATCAATAATAAATTCAATTTATATTAAATTAAAAACAATGTAATATAAAAAAATTTGAAAAATTTAAAAAAAATGGTTAAACTTTGTAATAAGAACACAATAAAAAAAATCCAATCTAATCTAGAAAAACAAATTTGAATAATTTCAAAAATTCTAAAAAAAGTAGCCAAATAGTAGCAAACTATTAAAAAAGTAGCAAATGGTAGCTTTTAGTAGATGAGTGCGAATCCTGCATAATATGACAAATATCCTATGGAAATTAGTCGCTGCAAAGCAGATCCTGATGACTTTTTAAATTATTCTATTCAAATTGCTAGTAGAATATAATTACCTTGTTATTTGCGGTACGCCTCTTGTAGAATGAGGACGCATTGCAGCTATTCCTTGTTGAGTTACTGGTCTGTCTAAATTACTGTTGTTTACAACGAATGAATTTGTAGATAAACTAGTGTTTAAACGATTTGATCCTACTCCAGAATTTAAATGTAACATCATACTTGAAAAACGATTTGACGTAAGCGAGGTGGATGAAGCTCGTGAATATAAATTTCTATCTGGCGTTTCAGATTTATTCACATTTGAAAATAATTTAATATCATGCATTTCACTTTTAATTCCTCTACGAGATGTAGGTCTTTCCATTTTTTACACACTAATATTTTGCATCAAATAAATCACGTAATACTTATTCTTTTCTTCATTAATTAAGTCTATTCATATCTGAAAATTTAAGAAATTTATAATATTAGTTACAACAAATAAAAATATCAAACTTATTTAAAATTAATTATTAAAATTTTTAAATTAATAATGTACAAGTGTTTTTAATCAATAAAGACCATGATTGCATGTAAGACCAAAGTTATGACATTTTTAAATTTCCATTACCTAACTTCAGTTTAGTTATCATGTATAATTTAACGCTAAGTTTAATAAATTTTTCACTAATTTTCGAAAAGTGCCTTTAACATTATTATTTGATAAAATATCGATGAAAGAAAGAGAGCATGATTTTTTTTTTTAATAGCGAAAACTTACTGAAAGTCGATATCATTTTCATGTTGATACAATGTAGTATAATAAATAGAATTTTTTTCGGAGATTATTATGATATAAATGGTAATAAATAAAGTTACAATATATATATATATATATAAATAAACGTTATTGTCAATACTAGTTTGATCAATATAATGAGGTTGCTTAATCCCATATACAAAAATCACTAACAAAAATTCCATTAATAAAATTAGTTGTAATAATTGTTTATAAAACTTACTCTTTCACAGAAGATTTTTAAAATTATTTTAATGGTTCTGACGTAAAACAGTTCTAAGCAAAGAACACGTTGTCGGAAAGAATGTAAATAAAGTAATTGTATATGTATTCGTTTGTGATGTTAGCGATTGTCATGGTAACTTAAGGTTTGTAACACAATGATAAGTTAGACGGTCACGAAATTAAAAAAAATTGTGTTTTTTATGACTAAAAATAAATTATTTATTAAGTATAAGGCGTACGAAAAAATGAAAACCGAAACTTGTTTCCTTATTGAGAATTACATTTATTTGCCCATCTAAATTGAAGAAATTGTTGCAATAATTGTTTGGTTAATCACAAGACATCCTGGTTTTCAATGACTTTTGGAATTTCAATCAAATGGATAATTAAACTTTTTGAAAGTCGATCAAAAGGATATTCGAATTTTCAAAAGTTCGAGAGGTTACAGTGATTTGACATTTTGAAAATCAATTAACAACTTGGTTAAATGAAAACTGATCAAATTCAGTTTAATGATAGATCGATGTAATAAAATTCTGTTAAATAACAATTTAATTAAATTAAAAAATAAAAATTGGTTTATACCTACGAAAATTCCATGATTGCATGATACAAAATGCTGTTTCACGAAAATTCCAAGTTTTTCATGAGTTATTGAAACTTAAATATTTTTTATTGGGCACTTGCTTAATTAAATCTGTACTGGATTTGCAACATTTGAATTTTGAAAATACCATATAAAATTTAAATTTAGATACCCCCCTCCCCCCTGTATGTTACAAGAGGGTTAAATGATTAAAATTCTGAAACGCAAATGATAACATTTACGTTAATTTACATTAAATTTTAGGGGAAGAGTGTCTGTTGTGGGCACCCCTACGTAATTTTTGACAGCAAATAGATGTTGCTGATCTGAGTACCCTCGAACTTGTATGTTGACAGTACATTGCTTTTGTGTTAATACCGAAGCGATACGCTCGTTTTTTCTTAGAAGCAGTGAGCATAATGTTAAATAGGTGTGAATTATTTAAAAATGTGAGTGTAATTTTTACATTATATTTTGAGATTTAATTTCGAATTTGACCAAAATATTAGCACTACATAAATTGTTGGATTCTCCAAGGGTGACCACAACCGGTACAACTTTTTTTCCACTAAAAATGGTCACTTCACTAAATTTTTATTAAAATCTTTCTAGTTGAAGGAATTAATTTAGTTATTTTTTGACAGTTACCTAAGGTCTCTAGATTGCCACTGATACGCACAAGTCTCATAATGTACATTTGGTCAAAAGTTATGAGTCATAAATAAAAGGGTGCCCTCAACCGGCACTCTTCCCCTACATACCACGTATAAAAAGACAAAAAAAAAGAATTGTACACAACAAACAAGAACTCATAGTGAAAAGTACATTTGTCCAAATTAAATTTTTATTCAATATGATTTGTAACATCGAGGACAAAGTTTTATGACATAAATAATTATTATTAATGGTCAATACCACTCTTAGCACACAATATTGGAAGTTAGTATTTTGAAGAAAATGGATTGAAATTTGAGGTGGCGGCGATTATTTTTCACGAACATTGTTACACTCATGCTCTCATGCAACTGATCACTTATTCTTACATTAAAATCTTATATCATCATACATTTTTAAAAGTCTAGGGTTAACTATAACACCTATTTATATGTGAAACATATTATCAACTAAGTCATATAACAAAATTTAAAGCGCCAAAATTTGTATGTACATAAAATACAAATATGCTAATTTCGAAGAAAAAAATTGAAATTTTTTCACAATTATATTTTAGGATGATGAAAAAAGTGGACACTAATGCAATTGTAACTTGTTTATTTTTCAATAAAATTCTTGCAAAAACTATTATTATAATTATTATTATGCAATTTTACCTTTTAATTTTTAATATAATGTTCATTAAAAATTAATAAAAGAAAATATTGTAACAGAATACCTCTTCAATACCAGCAGTAAGCTAACTCAAAACCAATAGCAAACATCTTATCAACTTTATTAGTTTGAAATGTATTTATTTATCTTTTATTCTTCCGTTAATACCTTCTGTATTTAATCAAAGAAAATAATATTTTGGTATTGACTTAGGATTACAAGGGAAATTTTGTTCGCAATCTATTTCGGAAGTTAATGAAAGTTTGTTTCAATTAAATTGACGTAAATGTAATTATAAAAAAAAGAAACGAAATTTGAACATATTAAATTTTTATTGAAATTCGTTTATCTTTGAAATTATTATGTGCCTATAAAATTACGTTTTTTTAATTACTAAATTTAAAAAATAATCTTTTACATGTAAATATGTCCTTTGTAATTTATGTAAAGTAGTAAAGGCTTTATATGTAGTATATGATTTGAGAAATTTTTAAGTGTTCTTAGTTTTTTATCGACTTTTAGAAAATTTAAATATAAAGAAAAATATCCGAAATGTAAAACGTCTATTGGAAAAATATTCCCCTTTCCTCTGCAGACAGCAAAAATGATCTACTGAAATGACTCCATCCAAAAGTTTCACATTTTGGATTTCAGTGTGCCGTTAAACGTGACGGCATGTATTACATAAAACATATTTAATTTTTATTTACCAATTATGAAGTTAATTATCATAAGGTGTTAAACATCTTTAATCGGATCAAAGAAATTTAAATTTTAAATTCATTACATTTTTTAGGGTTTTTATCTTTCTCATTAAAATTGATTGTATAAATGCATAAAATTAAGAAAATTAAAAAACTAAAAGTTTACTATAAGGCGCTATTTGTTTAAAATAAGATTTTCAATCACTATCAATATTAGAAAACGTAGAATATAATTATGCAATTCTTTAAAAATAAAATTCCATGTAATTTAAATTTAAAATTTCAATGATCGGAGGAAGTTATATTTTTTCTTGCATGTGGGTCCTAAAAACATACAGGGTGGTGAAAAAAAAGAAAATCTTAATTTTTGACTATTTTAAAGTATATAATCTTGAAAAAATTAAGATTATTGAACTACTTTCACAATTTTGACTAGGGTAAATGCACTAATTGCGGCGCGATTCGAGTCAAAACACCTTTGAAATAGAAAATTCGACATTTCTATTGTATAAACTCAATTTTTAAGACTTATTAAACTAAAAGCTCATGTTATTTAGATATTAAAAAAAAATTTAACTTTATAAAAATCGATTATTTAAATAAATATGATAAATTAAAACTAATACCGTAATTAAAAATGTTTCAATTACGGCGAGGGAAAAAATTTGATCTCAAATAATTAAATTAATAATTGTTTAAATGTGCATCTTTATAAGTAATTGTATCAAAAAAAGATTAAAATAATTTTTTTAATCATTTTGCAACATGTATATTAAATATAATAGTTAGTTATTTTTTGTGAATGCGCCGTAATTGGTACACTTACCTTATATTTCATCGCCAATTTTTACAGTCTTTTTTAATGATTTAAAAACAAAAATTTTAATTTAATAAAAAAAGTAAAAAATAAGTTGAAATTTCATTAATCTTTCCTATTAAATGTTGAACTACTTTTACAATTTTGACTATTTTTCATCGCCAATTTTTTTATAAGCTATTTTAGTGATTAAAATGTCTCGTATGGATGTAAAAAAATTCTAAAAGTGTCAGAAATGAAGATTCTCTTTTTTTTTTACCACCTTGTGTGTTTCTAGGACTCAAATGATGCAATAAAAAACTATCGTGCGATCACTTAAATTTAAAAGGGTCAAAATATAGGTAGTGCCTACCCTTAAGTTCATATATTAATTTAAGTTTTTAATAAGATTTAAGAATGTAATAATCCTTTTAGTAAAAAAATTCTCATTTAAGACCACACTTTTCCTTGACAGCTTTATTACGTTTAACATTTTGATCTTCTAACATCAAAACTATAGAAAAGAAAAAGAATGTAAATGTACAGTGAATAATTTTCATGTTTTCAAATCATCAGATTACATTTGTACATACAAGAAAAATATTAAAAAAGAGCTGCAATGCCAATGTCATTAAATTTATTTTAATTGAAAAAGACTTAAATTCACTTTCGTTTTCTAAAATAATTACGTTATCTAGAATATAATCACAATGAAGCAGATTTAAAGGAAAAAAGGAGATAGAGGGGAAAAGAGGAGACAGAGACTTCTAATGTAATCCAATTAAATAAACTTTAATTCTTAAATGACTTCTAAAATGATAACTTTAGTAAGAAATTTTGCAGAACCAATCAATAAGAACTATCAAACGAACAATGTGTTTTCAGTTTCACAACTGTTTTTATTAAACAAAGCGGAGTGAATCGCCAGCTCCCAGGCAAATCACTCAGCTTAAAAATGTTTGTAATACTATTATTATTAATATCAACTTTGAGATTGTGAAATTGAAAGACGTTCGTTTGCTTTTTTACGGTAAATAAAGATACTATGGAATGTATACATTTGTTTTAAAATATCGTTACTTTACACATTATTATTTCCCGTTTTTATCCGAGGAATAAAACACATTCACTAGAATTCGCTATCGTAGAATGAAAATGCGGTACTCAATTATTCTTTGTTATGTGCAGCCCAGTATTTCTCTAATTGCAACTTGTATTTCTATAACGTTAAACTATATGTATCGGTTTATGAATAAAATAAAGTAAAATGTCTCCAAGATTCAGTCTCGCCAACCTCAGCAGTATTTGTATGTTTTTTTTGTTTTGACAAAATCACTTTTTATCACAAGTCACACATGGGCATAAATAATCTCACTTCACTCTCGATATTCTCTCAAATTGACTTAAGTATTATCCGAGAAAATCTGCTTTTACATATCGACTCAAATTGTTACAGAGATATTTACATATTCACTGTAATGTATTCATTTATTATTTTTTTAATACTACTTTATACACTCAGTAGAGCCGATTCATTAAATTGATATTTTAATATCAAATTATATATTCAAACAATATTAGAAGTTATTGTACAATGAAAGAAAAAAGTTTGGCATGGTATACATATTTATGTGTGATATTAGTACTCTATCTCCTTGTGTATCTGCTGAAGTAATTTTCTACCTATTCCGAAGTGAACTGTGTTGCTTGAACATTCCTTCCTTGGAAATCAATTAACAAAATGCTCGACACGAGTTTATGTATATATGTCCACGCAGATTATACTGCCCCAAAAATTTTTTAAGAAATATTCCTATTCGAGGAGTAAGATGATTCCGCGCAAATAAAAAACGATGTTTATTTTTTAATTCGAGAAATCCTTCAAAAAATTTGTCTCTTGTCTCTATGGGTATAAATAATTACTCAAATTTTGTGAGTGTCAGAGCTGTACGAATTAATATATATATATATACGAATCTGATTCTTTTGAGAGAGTGTTCAAAATTATGATCGGATAGTAAATCATAAGAATAAATAAAATTTAACACGGTTTAAAGACAATTTGAAAATGACATTTAAGCAACGAATACTCAAAAGAACTATCAAATATTAAAACATTGGAAACATATTGTAAACTGCATATATTGTATTTTTAAAAAAAAATTTACTAACAAATCATCGTTTTGAACTTTCTGTTAATAATGGAATTATAATTTTTAAAATTCTACTTAGTGTACAAGTAAATAGCAACGATTAAACCATAAAGACCCAAAACTTCAGCGAAAATAAGAATCAGGATCATTCCAACGAAGAGACGAGGTTGCTGAGCAGTACCCCTTACTCCAGCGTCGCCTACAATTCCAATAGCGAAGCCAGCAGCTAATCCTGAGAAACCGACTGCAAGGCCCGCACCAAGATGAATGAATCCCCTAAAATCATTTTTTTCTGTTAATCTTATGTACAAGGTAAAGTTCTTAATTATGTATCGTTTTTCAGGAAGCTTTCATCTTCATCCTCAACCTTCACCGGTCTAGAGAATTTTATGTACGCCGATGACAAGAACCCACCCAGGGTCAAGTGCTTTCTTATTTGTATATTGCAAAAAAAACTTGGAATCACCAAGATTTTGTACAAGAATTGTTACCTACATGTTGCATTCTTTATTTGCTTAAATAATTTACTATTAATAATTTACAACATTTTTAAATACACATAAATAGCATAGCACAGAAAGGTTCATTTTTTCCCTAATTTTTCAATTTATTGAGAAAAGTATATTAACAGATGAAGAATATACATGAAACCATTATTCCACTTGTTTAACCCTTAATGTATATACACTGGGTACAAATCGACCCTGTATTTTTTAAAATTTTAAACAGGTACATTTAGAACTAAAGGAACAAGTAATTAGGCCTCTATAGAGTGACTCTTTGAGTCGGCTATAGCGCTTTATTAAGAGAAGAGCAATAAATAAACAAAACTCGCATATTATATATTATATTTTGAAATATGACTTCAGACTCAAATGAACAAATTTTTTTTGCAACTTCTTTAAGTACGAATTAAAGTGAATAAAAATAAAAAGTAGCTCGTTCTCCATCACCAAATTTTGATAAGATGAATAAAGAAGATTTAACTTAAATTTTAAAACCAAAATGGGATTTTTTCATTAATCGCCTGCGAAGATACAAGTGTTCAAAATCAGATAAAATCCTGAAAAGTTCAACATTCAAGGTAAAATTTCACATATTTCTTTATTATAAAAATAAAAAGCCAACATATCATGTGAAAGTACATGGAAAGTACTTATTGTTAGGTAGTAATGAATTTTATAATATTTATAAACTTTCTTGGAAAATATAAATAAAATGTGACAAATTTTGACATTTTACAGGTAAGTTTGAATATTAATTTTCACGTAGTAATTTGGCTTTTTTACACAATTATCAATTAACATTGGTAAATTAGACTATTTTAAACAAATATCAATGAAAAAAAATTTATTAACTGAATTATTTCTGTTCTTTTTTATAAAATTTCCAAAGCTGTCAAACTAACCTATTTTCCGTGCAACTCAACTTAAAAACTAACAACGTAAATAAAAAAAAATTTCATAAAATAGTTATCAAAAATGAATTGTACGGATATTCAAAGTCATTAATATGAAATATCAAATTTTTTTAAAAATAGGCTGCAACGACTATAGGTGAAATAAAATGGAATGACCCAAAAAATATTTTGTTCATTTGAACGTTCAAAACTTTTGACACATGAACACAAAGTGTACATACGGAACCCTATTACTTTTTCTACGTTGTCCGTCCATCCAATTTCATCCTACTATTGAAAAAAAACTATCTGACTGATTGACCTCTTTAGCAAAAACATGTATTTCTTCACGTAGATTTAAAAATAATGTTAAAAACAAGATTAAAGTTGATTTTGTGGACAAAATTGCCTGTCCACCTCCCCCTCTCCAAGCACAGACGTTTTGATGAAACTTTCTAAAACTATGGTTCTGGTAGTGCAAGGATAGTTTGATTCGTGTATGAAACCCTAGATTTGGGTGCGAGTGTAACTCGCATTTGTCTGAATTTTTACAGTTATGATAAATTTTCAAAGTTTGATTGGAATCAGCGAGTATCACTTGGGTAGTTGTAGTTGTTAAAGACAAAAATTGAAATATCATTTTTTGACCTCGTTGAATTCTGGGAACCGTGAGGTGTTTTCTGTAAAAGTAGTAAATTTACTGAAAATAAATTGTGTAAAATTAGAGGGGAGAGGTGTCATAGGAAAACTTGTCCGTACTTTCTCATTTTTAGAGCCATCCATAAGTATAACTTGGTGCAGGGCTATACTTATATTTTTTCAATGTACGGTACTGAAAAATGTTTTTTTTTGTGGCGCCAGGTTGCAGTTAGACATGGATGGGAACTAAATCGAAATCCTCAGTCAAGTGATTTCGTCAATAGCAAAGTTCGTCAGTACTGCCTATTGACTGTAGATAATAGTTTACTGGAATTTCTTTTTGGGAAATATACCACGGGAAGACTTGTCCAACATTGACTTCAATAATTTATCCAATTTTTAGTTAGGGAAAGATGTTTTGCGAGGACTAGTTCAGTCTTGACTTTAATTATTATTAAGAATTTTCAGTTGGAGAGGACTTGTTCTCTGGGAGGAGATGACCATCTATTGTAATGGAAGGACTTGTCCTGGGGAGACTTGGAGAGTGTGACTTGTCTCAAACCCAACAACTTTATTTGAACCTTTAGAATTGATTATCAGGTAGATTGTCTAGAAATTTTAGTTGAAAATTTAAAAATAATAAATGAATCTTATATTGTACTCACTTGTAAAGAGAATAACGCACAGGTTCCTCAAGGGCTCCTGCAATTAGCACTGCTACGACGAGACCGTAGATGGCAATAATACCCGCCATGACAACAGGAATGATAGATTTCATAATAAGTTCTGGTCTCATTACAGACATGGCTGCAATACCAGTACCTGACTTTGCTGTGCCATATGCAGCTCCCAAAGCTTAACAAAATTAATGACATTTTATAATTAGAAATTTTTATTAAAATAAAATAATAAAGATATTATTATACATTAAAAGGATACAGTGGTCTTTAGGTATATTCAAAAGTCGTTTTTGGCAAATAGATTTTCTGCACAGGGAGAGAATATAACGACAGAAGATTGTCCGATTCGTTGCAAAAACGCGATAATGTGGTTATCATTTAATAAAAAATGATAATTTAATATTAAATTTATGTTTTATACATTAAATATGGACCAATATAAATTGTCAACTTGTAAATTAAATATTTCTAAAATAATTTCTCACATAGTTTTTATTCGTACCAAACACTTTTACACTGTTAAAAATAATAAGAAGTTTGACACTCCCAGGTGCGAATTAGGGTCGGCAGCCAGAGTTGGTAGGTCGGGCCATAGACGGCACATCTACGGCTGCCAAGACGTCGGCAGCCAAAGTTGTCCCGACTTTGGTTACTACTTTCACCCAAAGTTGCGCCGACTGTGGCTACCAAGGTTTAAAATCCAGAATTTCCAATGGTCGGGCCGACTCTGGCCAAAGTCGGGCCGATAGTCGGTTAAACTGCGGCAGCCGGAGTTCAAAAATTAGAATTTCCAATAGTCGGGCCGACTCTGGCCAATGTCGGGCCGATGATCGGTTAAACTGCGGCAGCCGTAGTTCAAAAATTAGAATTTTCAATGGTCGGGCCGATGGTCGGTTAAACTGCGGCAGCCGGAGTTCAAAAATTAGAATTTCCAATAGTCGGGCCGACTCTGGCCAAAGTCGGGCCGATGGTCGGTTAAACTGCGGCTGCCGAAGTTCAAAATTCAGAATTTCCAATGGTTGGGCCGACTCTGGCCGTAGTCGGGCCTATGGTCAGTTAAACAGCGGCAGCCGGAGTTCAAAAATTAGAATTTCCAATGGTCGGGCCGACTTTGGCCAAAGTCGGGCCGCAGTTGGGCCGACCATCATATTCGTAAAGTAAATTTCTTTACATTCATGGCCAAAATAAAAAATTTTTGTGACATTTATTTAACTAAAATGGATTAACTAAAAAATTACAAGGATTATCTGATTTATTTTTCATCATGAATTACAAACTGGATTTTTCTGAAGTTGGAGCTTATGAAATCATTTTTGTCCTTAGACTTTCATGTAAGCGTGGCGTAATGGATAGCGTGTTAGATTTCGGTGCGTTAGGTTGCGGGTTCGATCCTTGCGAGCGATAAATATTTTTAAAATGTATGTATGTATGTATAAGATTGTCTTAAGTGTTAATGTGTATGCAATAAATAAATGATGAATTTCAAACTATACCCAATATATGTTAATTATATAATTAATAATTTTTACATTTTTTCCAAAGGTCGGCCTAACTTTGGCAGCCATAGTTGGCCCGACTCTTTTAGCCATTGGTCGGTCCAACCATTTCTACCAAAGGTGGGCCAACAATGGTTACCAATGTGAAGCCGACCTTCATTGTTTGCCGACATGGTCTTGCCAAATCGCCGCCGTTTCAACATGCCGGCAGTGTTTCCGCTAGAGAATGGATATGCTTATAACATCGGGAGTATAGCCCTTCATGGGCCCAGGTATCCCTTCTCTGCCTCGAGCATGAAAATAAGCGCAATTCTGTTTGCCGACATGGTCGGCAAAACTTTGGCGTCCATGGATGGTCCGTCTTTGGTACCAATGGTCGGTCCAACTTTGTCAGCCATTGGTCGGCGGATGTTATCAATTCGCTAGTTCGGCCGACCATCGGCTGCCAAAGTCGGACCGAACATTCACATGGTTGGCCCGACCATGGCCCGACCGACAATTCGCACCTGGGCTGATAAACAACGTTCACTTTAAATATTAATAATTTAATAATTACAACTTTATTTAATACAAAAAATGCAAAAATCAATTATTGAAAAGTTGATTTATTCAATTCAATAGAATTTCTCATTCCTTTTTCCCATTATTTCAACAATCTACGAATGTGCAACGAATTCGTCGCACACTCATAGTTTGCGATTCGATAGAGTAACGCGACATTCAATTGTAGGAATGTAGCGTTAGGTATATTTCTCGTTCTTCGTCAACATATCATACAACTTTGAAGCTTTAACTTTGAAGTGTCTTTAAAAAATACGAAACTATAATTGAACCGTCAGAAAGTAAAACCTTAAAACGGTCTTTTGATAAATCACAAAATCGATTTCTAAATAATAAATGTTTAAATATTACTATTTTATTGGTAATAATATGGTAACAAAATAATTAATCTTTTTTTACACTGAAAAAAAATTTATTTTATTCAAATACTTCAAATAATTTGAAAAATATTTAATAGGTTCAAATACTTTTTATTTGGATCAAAAAAATATGTATTTGATTCAAATAACTTGAATTATTTGAATCGCATTTGTTTGAACCAAATAAATCGTATTTGGTTCAATTAAATAATTAATTGAATTGAATAAATGGATTTATTTAATACAAATAATTAATTACTTGAAACTATTCATTCATTTATTTCACTAAAATATTTCGTTTATTTGATACAAATAAAAAGTATTTGACACAATAAATTTATGTAATTGATTCAAATAAACTGAATTATTTAATACAAATAATTCGTTATTTAATGCTAATACACTATTTTATCAAGACAAATAAAAAAATATTTCAATCAATTAAATATTTAAGTGTAATGAGAATAATGAGTTATTTGATACTTTTCATTTATTTATATATATTATTTAATATTCTAAGTCCAAAAGTGAAATATTTTTACATCTACAAAAAATTAATATTTACGATGATTCAGAACAACGAAAAACGCGTTTTTAATAAAAATATATTTACACTTTTTTTGAAAATTCACCTGTGATGATTCATGATAATAATCATGAAGCATATAATTAATAATATTTTATAAATTGCATTTAATTGGAAAATATAATTTAATATCTTAATTTTAACTAAATGATGTTAAGCACTTTTCTGAGTTAGGTCTTTTGCAAGTTTAAATGACATCAAGAAGTTAACATTCTTTTTCACGTAGCGTTGCGTAGCGTAGTTGGTAAAGCATTAGACTCATAATCCGTAGGTCGTAGGTTCGATTCCCCCCATGCGTTAGATTTATTTATTTCTCAGGTTTGCGTTTAATAAATTATTCTATATATGAATTAGTTGAAAAATGAAAATATGCGATCATAATATGCAGAAGTTACATATTTTTTAATTTATTTATTTGAGTAAGAATTCAATTTAAAAATGGAAGAATTAGTTTTGAATGTTCCATTTATTTCATTTTAATACTTTGTATTTGATTCAAATAACTATTTATTTGATACGATAAAATAAAATACTTATGTCTAGTAAATGTGTATTCCCAGGTGCGAATTTCGGTCAGCCGCCAGAGATGGTTCGTCGGCCCGACTAGGGCTGCACGAGAGTCGGCCGCCCTAGTTGGGCCGACCATAGTAAATATTGTCATCCAAAGGTGGCCCGACTATGGCTGCCAACGTCGGCAGCCCTAGTTGGGCCGACTGTGGGATATAATGGTTGTTTAAATAATTAAAATATAAATACATTATAATTTAAAAACAAAATTTATTTCAAATTGACTAATTTTCTTATCTAAATAAGTTTTATTTTTATAATAATTTTTTGCTAACGCCAAAGTGATTCGATATGAAATAAATTGTTCATTATTATTTTATTATAAAATATAATATTTATTAAATAATTTGAAATGGGTAATTTTTTTTAAGAATTACTTTGTTAATACTATAATATTAATTATTATTATATTAATTTATGATACAGTCGGCATAGTCCCCCATAGTCAGACCAACTGTGGCTGCCATAGTTGAGCCAACTATGAGGGACAATGGTCGGCATGACTTAGGCAGCTACAGTTGGGCCAACCTTGGCTGCCATAGTTAAGCCGACCATCTGGCATGACGATCGGCAGCCACAGTTGGGCCAGCCTTGGTCGCCCTAGTTGGGCCGACTATGGGATCGGTTGACATGACTTGTGATTTAGCAATCACAGTTGGTATATACCTTAAACAAAATGGTGATTAATAAAACTGTGGCAGCTAAAATATTAAGAAACCCACTTCTTAATGGTCGGCCTAAGTCGGGCCGACGGTCGGCTAAATTTCTTTGAAGATGCAACTTATGTGACTAATTTTTCCTTAGACTCTCATGTAAGCGTAGGGTAATGGATAGCGTGTTAGATTTCGGTGCGTTAGGTTGCGGGTTCGATCCTTGCGAGCGATAAATATTTTAAAAATGTATGTATGTATAAGATTGCGTTTAGTGTTTAAATACCTAAAATAATTGTATGGTGAATTTAGAATAATTACTAATAAATGTTATTCGTATAACAAATTTTTATATTTTATTTGTCGGCCAACCTTTGGCAGCCATAGTTGGGCTAACTGAGTCGACCCTAGGTCGGTTGACGTTATCAATTCGCTAGTTGGCCCGACCTTTGGCTGCCATAGGTGGGCCGACAATCTTTACCATAGTGGGCCCAACTATGGCTACCGACCGTCGTGCCCAACAGTCGGCAAAACTAGGGCAGCCACAGTTGGCACGACTTGGGTACCCATAGTTGGGCCAACCAAGTCGACCCTAGGTCGGTTGACGTTATCAATTCGCTAGTTGGCCCGTCCTCTGGCTGCCTAAGGTGGGCCGACCGCCAACTCGCACCTGGGTTGGGTTCAAATACATATTTAATGGATAATAGACAAGTAAATGATCTATTTGGATCAAATACTTTTTATTTGATCCAAATAAATTTTTTTTTTGTGTAAACAACGATTTCGAAGATATCAGGGGCAAACTCAAAAGTCCGTACAAATTTTATATGCTGTTTTACTTTCCAACGGCTAAGTTATAGATTTTATGCAATACTTTCCTAATTTTTATAAACGCCACAAAATTAAGTATACTTTCTGCTCTGTTCTTAAAAGTTAGGACATTAGATTTTGAGAATTGTCTCTATAAGTAAATTTTAATACATGATATTTACTTTCTAAAATCTAAAAACGATTATAAATACTCTGCTTATTAAACTGTTAAAAGAACATTAAAAAGTGATTAGAAATCACATTAAAATTTTGCTTAAAATGAGTTCTAGTTAAATGAATATTGATATTCTGTTGAAAGGAGGATTAAAAGAAAAAGAAACGAATTTATGGAATATAGCCTTTACTTTCTAAAGCTGAAAAATGTAATATTTTGCATTGAGAAAACGTTAATAAACTTTGCATCTCTAAAAACTAATAGTGTGGAACCTCGATTATCCGTCAATGAATCTGTCACATAAAAACATGGTTGTCACAGATTGTTTGTCAAACAAGTGAAAAATTTGTTCATTATGATAAACACTTACATATTATTAGTTTAAAAAAAAAATCAAAATTTTAATTATTTGATAAAAATAAAAATAGCGATCAATTTTATAAATATTGGTAAAATGTAAACTTTATGTACGATTTGTTTTGATGTCTAGAATACAACTCTGACAAAATTTATTAAAAATTTTCATAAAGAAAAAAGTTATTTCAAAAAATACGAAAAACGATTTTTCTCAAAAATTAAAAAATGATTTAATTTATAAATTTTAAGTAAAATATAGATTTTATATAGGTTAATCAATTAGTTTAAATGCGAGAAATCAGTTTTATGGACAAAAAATTAAATTTACAGTGTAAAAAATGTTTTGGTTAAAAAACGTATTTACGAATTTTTGAAAAAGTGACATATATATAAAAATTATGTGGATATTTTTGAAAATCCTTGTGTTTGATTTTAGATATTGATGACTGCAATAAGCCTACAAAATTTCAGATTTTGTGACATCACACACACATCAATATATGAATTCTAAATGAAAATGAGCACATATCGAAAATCTTCACGAATACAAAGCTTTCTCGGGAGGAGAGGAAGCAAAAATTAATTTTTTTCGTTATTGATCGTACATATTTGTATATGTGTAGTTGTAGAGAATTAACCTGTAAAAATCTTAAATTTATATACTTATTCGATTATCCGTCAAGGCGTTGACCCAGTGCCTCACAGATAATCGAGGTTCACAGTATTTAACTCAAAATTTTAATACGAGAGCATATATTCTTGATCCAAGAAAATATGGAATTCGAGCAATATATTAATCAACTTGTAATACATGTAAAATACATTAAAGACAGAAAATATTTTCTTGTTCTGAGAATATATGTAGTCAAATCAATTGTTTCATTCAAATCTTTGCAATATTGGATCAAGTAAGACAAGATTAAAATCAAAATATTATTTATATTGTGAGGAGACCATATGTTCTTGGTCCAAGAAAATATGGAATTCGTCTAAGAAGTTTATTGACTTCTAAGAAATGTAAAATATATTAAGTCAAGATCATATATATATTAACTCAAGAAAATATTTTCTTGACTTGAGAAAACTTTTAGAGTTCAAGCAAAAAAATATTTTTCCAATACAAGTAAATATTTACTTGAATTTACCCCCCCTCCTTATCCCACCATGTCTAATTCTTAAGTCAAACATTTTTATTTATTATTAACATTCATATTTTTTATTATTTATTTAAATAATGTTTATTTTACATACATATTTATATTTAATTAATACTTAACACAACTAAAACAAGTATACCTTGAATGAAAATTTTTCACAGTCCGTGGAACTGAACCCGAGTTGCGCGCACCAAAGGCAGTAACGTAGACCACTATTGATGGTTTTCAAAAACTCCTATTTAAGTTTCACATCCATTTGGAGAGAAATATTTTCTTGGATCAAGAATACGGGATTTGTATTAAGTAAAAAATTAATTCAAAGCAAATGAATAAAACTATTTGATTCAAGAAATGAAAATTAATTAAATTAACCTAATATTCTTGATTGAATACTTTTTGGTACTTCGGGAAAATAAAATATTGGGTTGCGATAATAACATATTTACTTCTGCCAAATACTAAATTTTTAATTCAAGAACTATGCGTTAATCAAGTTAAAACAAGTATTTACTTATATTAATATTCGCATTTTCATGACTTAAGACTATATTAGCGTTGAATTAAATAAAAAATATTTTCAAGGAAACAAAAAAATGATTTCATTCAAGATTATATCACTATTTCAACTGAAAAAATAATAATATTATATTATTTCTAGAAATTGAATGTTCTTGAAACAATATACATAATATGAAATTGCTTCAAGTATAATAAACACTTGGATTGATTAATGTTTAATTCAAACAATATAATTTTTAATCAAGTTGAAATAAGTATCTACTTCTATTAATCTTTCCATTTTCTTAGATCAAAACTATGAGTGTTAGATTAAGTAAAAAATTGTTTTGAAGGAAACAACAAAATAATTTGACCCAAGAAAATAAAATACTCAACGTAAATCACTTGACATGAGAAAATAATATTCTTGACTCAATTCATTTTCTGTTCTTGACGCAAGTAAAACATTTCGCTTGAAACAGTAAGATATATTTACTTGTATGAAACTCATATTTTCTTATTTCAAGAACATTGTTCAATGCTCAAAATTACTTGACTCAAGAAAATAAATTTCTTCCAATAAGAAAATATCGTCTTGTTTCAAGTAAAGTACCTCAAGTAAATGCATTAACTTGATTCAATTAACTTTTTTTTCAGTGTACATATGTATTTTGATGCGCTGATTATGAAAATCATACTGACAGTACCCTCAAATATTATTTTTATGGAGAAAACCATAAAAAAGTTCTAAAGTTTGTGTTTTTTTCGTCTATTGGGTAAAATATGCAAAATTTGCAAAAAGTGCATAGAATATAAAAAAAATGTATTTTAAAAAGATCTACAACTTAAGTTGAAAATTTTTTCTTAAATTTTGCATATTTTACCCAATAAACGAAAAAAACCATAAATATACGTAGAATAAAATAAACCGGAGGTACTCTTAAAAAATTCAAAGTTCTGGAAAAATTGAAAAAATCTTTTGCCCACAACCGGATCAGGCTTAGTAGTTTTTTTTGAAATTTAAAAAAAATCGAATGCTATATACAGTTTTAAAAATAAAATTTTAAATTGCAAAAAATATAGTAAATTATATTTCTAGAATTCTTTGAAACAAATTTTCGAAAAGTTCAGGTAATAATACACAATTAAAAAAAAACTTTTAATATTCCTGTATTTTTAAGAAAGTTATGAGCATTCAAAACTAAAAAATCATTAAAATTCTGAAATTTTGAAAAATTCGTATCTCGTAAACGTTGTGAAAATTAATATTGTGAAGAAACTAAGAAGGATAGTATTATGCTTTTTCAATTAAAGAATTAATTATAAAATTGAATGAAATTAATTTTCAAACGTACAATTTAAAAACTTATTGTTAAGGGGATCATGCCTCTCGGGACAGGTGAAATTTTTACCCATCGAAATAAACATTGTTTAGGGGTGTTAAATTCTTTTTGTATTCTTTAAAACAAACTTTTTTTCAGTATGAAAATTTTTTTAAAAAATAAATGAATTTCCACTAATTTGTGCCCTTATGCGAGAAGATGAATTCTATCTAATGTACAAAAGTGTGAACAATTCTCATTTACCAGCAGTTGATTTATATTTCAAAGAAGTTACTTAAAACATGTATCGAGTATTTTTTACTAAAATCAATATTAAAATGTGTTTAGTATTAACAGAATTATTAGAAATGTTCCTTTGGTTCTACTTTTTAAAAATCCACTGTTAGAATGTTTAAGGTCATGTGATTGCCTATCACATTATTGGGTCACGTGTTATGTGTATAAAAACTCCAAACTCGTTTTTCTCGAAAAATACCTTATATATTGGGTTGAAATCGTTAAAATATGAGTAAAATTTTAGCAGAATGTTAAAATTTAAGCAACATAGATAAATAATTTTTCGAGAAAAGCGAGTAACAAAGTTTGACATGCAAAACACGTGACTCAATGACGTCATGAACAATCACATGGCGCTAAATTGACTGTCAAAAAATTAAAATCAGCTGTTGGTAAAGATGGTGATCGCTCATGTTCTTATGGATTTTAAGATTTTCCAAATTTTACTTTTTAATTTTATTTAATTTTTTAATTGCAACTTCCTGCTGGTACACTAACAATATGCTTCTTTCAAAAGTAGACTTTTATACTCGTACTAATGCAATTTCTTGTATTAAAAATCTAAATGTCCTATTTATTGCAGCAATATTGACGAATTCAGACAACGATGAGTAATAAAAACCCGGGTACTCCTTTAAAAATTCGATGCAATTTTCATAAATTTTTAACAGAAACTCAAGAAAAACTATTCTTTCTTTTAAAAAACTTTCAATCTCATAAAATAATTTTAATTCAATTAAAATATTTTATTGCACGAGTGTTAAAAAGTCTTAATATTAATTAGAAAAAAAACAGAGAAAAGAAACTGAAAGCAGAGTATAGTGTCATCAGTAGTGTCACGAGACTCAAGCACGGGACACGGTGGCCTTGTATTCACTTATGACCAACATTTTTGTTGTAAAATAAACCGAATTTCGAGCACTAAAACTTATAACACACCATTTTTAAGATAAAATTATAAGATCGATATATGAAACATAACTGAACTAAGGTGATACGAATTTTCAGACAAGAGGAAGGGAAAAATTAATCTTTAATAAAAAAAAAAAAATCTTTAGGTAAATTCTCTATTAAGAAAAAGAGATTGAACAGTAAAGTATAGTAAATTATTGATAAATAAAACTCACCAGAGAATATGATGGCAGAGGCAGCGCCCATGACTCCGAAAAAGGGTCCATAAATGGGATTTGCTTCTGGTAAACTCATTTTGATAATTATAATGGGTTTTGTTTTAAACGGTGAGAGTGTTTTAGAAGAGTTAAAAAAGAAATTATTTACAAAGTATTGTTAAACAGTAAATGTCCTGGTAAAAGTTCTGTAACGTCCTCACTTTACTAAACTAATACGTCTCGTGCCTCTACTAAGTATGCTCAAACATACAATTACGAAGAGGGTCATGTGATGACAGACAAGAGTGTCGTATGACTATCAAAGTCGATAGAAGAAGGGCAAATTTATAAATCAAATTCTGATTGGTTGTTCCCAATGAACTGAAACAATTTTCACCAAACAGATCGCGTGTTTCATATAGAACTATGCGTAATACAAGGAACGATTGAACTAATGCAAAGAGGGGAAATTCTGTTCGAATATGTACAGCCATGCGCAGTACTAATATGTTTGTCTTTTTTCTTCACATTAATACTGTGTGAGAAAGAAATATAAATTTGTTAGAGTAAAGGCCTAAGCACAGATGAGTCGGGTACGGGATATGTAAGGCCGTTTCCGAATTGCGATTTTTGTCGCATTTGATAAAGTGTATACTCGGGAGGTATGCAGTGTCCTTGTTTTTCTGTGCGAAAACAAGGACAATACATACTTCCAGAGTACACACTTTATCAAAAGTGCGACAAAAATCCCAATTCAGAAACGGCCTAAAGGTGCTTTTATACATCTAGTATTTTGGTCAAGCAATCGGCTGGATTGGATTTTCACGGTTGTATCACTGAATTTGATTGGCTCTGACAAATATTAGATTTTCACCGTGAAAATTGAATTTTGTTAGAGCCAATCAAATTCAGTGATTCCTCCGTGAAAATTCAATACAGCAGATTGCTTGACCAAAATACTAGAGGTATAAAAGCACCTTTATGGAGCATTTACACCTTTGGTAAAAAAAAATTTTTAAGGCGCTTGTATACCTCACCGATCCCGAGTATACTTCTTTCGTGTACCATTGGAGTAAAAGAGACAAAAAGATATTTCCGTCTCTTTTACTCCAATGATACACGACGCAAGTATACTCTGGATGGGTGAGGTATACAAGCGCCTTTACTTTGCATTTTCCGAAATACACAAACCTGATTGGTTGTTCACATTCTGATAGATAATGGACAACCAATTAAATTTTTGCATTTCGGAAAATGAAAGTGAAAATTTTTTTTACCAAAGGTGTAAATGCTCCATAAGTTCCCGCAACCGTCTTTAATTGTGCGTTGAAAAACGGTTGCGCAAAACATTAGCGGAACCGTTTTTTTCAACGCACAATTAAGGCCTTTCTCCAATAGGATCCTAACCTCTTGCGTTGCGTATGCATTGCGTCGGTTGCTATTGGCAACCAATGCTAAAATCAACGCGTCAGTCACGCAACGCAAAAGTTTAGGTTCCTATTGGAGAAAGGCCTTAAAGGCCTTTCTCCAATAGGATCCTAAACTCTTGCGTTGCGTATGCATTGCGTCGGTTGCTATTGGCAACCAATGCTAAAATCAACGCGTCAGTCACGCAATGCATACGCAACGCAAGAGTTTAGGATCCTATTGGAGAAAGGCCTTAAAGGCGCTTGTATACCTCACCGATCCCGAGTATACTTGCGTCGTGTATCGTTGGAGTAAAAGAGACGGAAATATATTTTCTCTTTTACTCCAATGGTACACGTATACTCCGGATCGGTGAGATATACAAGCGTCTTAAAGATGGTAACTTACGTCAAGAAGAGAAAGTAGATTGCGGTAAATTACCGGCTCGTTCTTTCTCTGATAATTTAAGAAAATTTTTTAAATAACTAGTTTTCTAAAGGAAATGACCTGAACTCAGATTCAAACCTTTAAAAAGGGTTTTCTCGCTTCACTTACTTTAATTTTTGTTTTTTAATATTATTATTTTAAAACTCTAAAACTGCGATTGTTAAAAATGATTGTAAAATATTCTATTTAGTTATAGAATTATTATGTAGATTGCAAGGAAAAATAATAATAAATAATCTTGTCAATGAAAACAGAGAAAATCACAGTCTATTATATTCATTGTTGTAATTTTATAATGAGTAATAAATTTTACAATTTCATATAATAAACGTTTTGTGAGTTAACCTACATATTATAAAAAACATTTTTAAATTAAAAAAGCCAATTTGGAATCATTTAAGTGAATATTCTCATAAATTCACTTGTTATCAGTAATTTACCTCAATCTTTTTTCTTACCTTCTCCGATTTTTATTTTACCGAGAATTTTAGAACACTATACATATTCTGTGCCACTTGTGGAAAGTGGTTTTTTTGAAAGGTTATTCACATCAACTTTTGCATGAAAAAAATATGTAAATGACAGTTTGAATCCAGATAATATATATAATATTTTAATACAATACATTATACGGAAAAAAAGTTGTCACGATAAAATATATATGAAAAGAAACGCATCCAATGGAATTGTTATATTTGTGAACAGTTGTGAAGGCGCTTGTACACCTCACCGATCTCAAGTATACTTCTGTCGTGTATCATTGAAGTAAAAGAGACAACAGATATTTCCGTCTCTTTTACTCCAATTGTACACGACGTAAGTATACTCGGAATCGGTGAGGTATACAAGCGCCTTGAATGACCCTTAAAAAAAAAACTTTCCACAAGTGGCACAGAAAGCCTAAAGGTGCTTTTATACCTCAAATTTCGATCAGATGAACATTATTTCTGGACCGTGAAAATGCGTGAAAAGTCATTTTCACGGCGGGTATTTTTGAATTGTTTTAAACAAAAAATGTTTTTTTAAGAAATACAATATTAAATAATTGTTTTAATATGTAAGAACACTTTAAAATAGTGATAGAAAAATGATTTGATTAAAAAATATAGCAAATTTTGCTTTAAAACGTTTCTGCTACAAGAAAGGGTAAAATGACGATGTTTGTGAAATGGTTTGTACAGTGTACATGTGTATATGTTTCTTTCAGTTATTCGAAACAATTAGTAGAATTTAAATTTATTTGATAAACATTTCAACTTACCGATTTATTTTCAGCACTCATTATTTATTACAAGTTAAAAAGAAACGACATAACATAAACAAAACTCTGAGAGACACTCATAAGGAAGAAGCACTGTACAAACCATTTCACAAACATCGTCATTTTACACTTTCTTGTAGCAGAAACGTTTTAAAGCAAAATTTGCTAAATTCTTCAATCAAATCATCTTTTTATCACTATTTTAAAGTGTTCTTACATATTAAAACAATTATTTAATATTATATTTCTTAAAAAAACATTTTTTGTTTAAAACAATTCAAAAATACCCGCCGTGAAAATGACTTTTCACGCATTTTCACGGTCCAGAAATAATGTTCATCTGATCGAAATTTGAGGTATATAAGCACCTTAACCACAAGACGGGTACGCAAGTCTGATACAGGATATGTAAATTCCCACAACAACCATTAATTGTGCGTTGAAAAACGGTTGCGCGAAACATTGGCGTAACCGTTTTTTCAACGAACAATGAAGGCGCAGTCTCATTACTGCGTGAAACGCCGGCGTAATTGCGGAAAGCATGAGAACGAAAGAAATAGTGAGATATATTCATCTCTTTTGTTCTCATGATGTCCGCTTTACGCCGGCGTTGCCATCATGGGACGGCGCCTTAATGGAGCGGTCACACCTCGGCTACAGGAGCAGTTGCCCATGGCAACCGTGTAAGAGTAAGAGAGATAGAAGATTTCCCATCTCTCTTACTCTTACACGGTTGCCATTGGCAACTGCTCCTGCAGGCGAGGTGTGACCGCTCCATAAGGCAGATTCCTACGGAAGCCTGTACGGCTCACGAGCGTCTCGGACGCAAGTGGCGGTGTTTCGTATCACAAGTGGCACGAAGTCCGTCCAACTTGTGGCAAGTTCGTTAAGGAGCTTCTACAATAGCTCCGTTTGGCAACTCCAAGTCCAAGTCGGTTGGAGTTGGTTGCGCACGCATGGTGTTGCCAACTGTCGCCGAGTTGAAAATGAAAAAAAAAATTGTGCGTGATCTCGTGCTCACGAAATACATAGTTGAGGTTATGTACCTTTAAAGCTGTAAACACGCTGTAAAGTTTAATAAATTATTTGTTGTTGTTGCTGTTGTTGTTGCCGCCGTCTCATCGTTTTTTAAAGAGAAGAAAAATATAAATTAAATTAATTTTTCTTTTATAAACAACAAAATTTTTTCCCCGAATAATACACACATGCAATGAATTTAATATTTGTAATATATAAATATAGTAATAAAGAAATATACAATAAATGAGATGAACTGTCAATACAAAATTTTTTTTATGTTTTTTATTGACATTATAATAAAAGTTTTTCATCATTTTGATTTCACAATATATTAAAAAGGTATTGTCATGAACATAACCTTACAATATTTTTTGCTTATTTTAATATTAGAGAATGCAGATAATTTTCAAAGTTTAATATTTTATGAATGAATTTTTTCGTCTAAAATTCATTGAATATAATTACTATATGTGATAATTCTTTAAAAAGTTAATTTCTTCATGCGTTGCCATAATATTTTTGTAATCCAATTTCCTGAATTCTCCATTTTTCCATGTAAATAATAACTTTTTCCTTGACAAACAGATTTCTTATTAGAAGAAAAAAAAACATTTAAGACTCTACAAACATTTTAAACACTATAATCTAAATACTCTAATCTGAATTTAATTCTGAAAATAACATTAAAATAGTATAGTAAAATAATCTGTTAATGAGAATTGGGATCTCTTGTGGGGCGTGGCTTAATCATTTAACCTCCTCTCAGTGGTACCATTTTTCGACACCGCGTTAAAAACCTACGCTGATTGGTGGAAGTTGGACAAAATTAGACAAAACGACCTACTCTCGAGGGTTACAAAAATTTTCACCAGAGAGCGTCTTACAGTACAAGAGATCCCAATAATGTAATCTTAAGTTAAGTTATTTTTAAAAATCGTATTTAATTAAAAATATAATAAATATGTCAACGCACGTTTTCCATTATTTTTCAAATATTTTTAAATTTAATACCATTTTATGATTACGCCCTTCTCATGTGATGAAATATAAAAATATTGTAAGGTTATGTTCATGAAAATACCTTTTTAATATATTGTGAAATCAAAATGATGAAAAACTTTTATTATAATGTCAGTAAAAAATATAAAAAAAAAATTTGTATTGACAGTTCATCTTATTAATTGTATA